TTTTTACCATATTCCTGCTAATTTCACCAATGTCTATAAAAGTACCTACCACTTAGTAGGCATTAATTAGATGTTTCTGGAATAAATTAATGAATGAATGCTGTGTGCCAAGAAGTGTAGAAGGTAACTGGCACAAAGTTGTGAGTAAAACACCCATGGTGTATGAAGATTACAGTTGCATTAAAAATACAGTGACCAAGTAAATGATTATGCCAAATGAAAAATGCAACAAGCATATAGAGAGAGGAAAGAACTGGTTGGGGTGGGGAATATAACCACAAATCTTAACCCATTTGAAATCATAATCATTAAACTTTTAAAAACTTGCTGTAGACCACATTGCTAACAGATTCCTAGTTGTCCTTTGACCATGCCACCTTGCAAATATAAGCAAAGATCAGAAAACAATCTGAGAAAGCCCCTGCCCATACAAGAAAGAAAGCAGGTTTCCACAAATCCAGATTTCCTACCATATTCAGTGGTAGGAAAGTTAAATTATAGTAACTTGGAGATAGTTCAGAACTTTATATACATGCCCTAAGGGGAAAGAGTTTCCAAAGGTGCTGGTCAGTGGTGACTGTACCAAGTTTTCAACTCATATCAATTGAAAACTCTCTTCAATGTTATACAAGTCGCCTTTCTAAAGTGTTTTAATCACAGTCAAAAATGTCTCCCTCATACATGTGTTCAGGTATCAATAAGTCCCATCTTCAGAACCACTCCTTTAGATAGCTTGCTACTATAAACTAGATTAGAAGGTATACTGAAAGCCACCAGAAACACAAGGCATACATCCTTGAAACATCAGTTATATTGGAAGCTTAAGCAGGCAGAGAGTTAAGAAAGAATTGATATGTAATTTATAATATTAATATAAAATAAATGACTATTGAGATTAAATATGATAAACCAAAGACATTTGGTGATTAGAGCTAGACTAACATGTTCCTTATATCTCCCAATATAATAGAAAGAAAACTCGAGAAACTCAGGTTAAAAAAACAATTTCACATAAAGCTTCTTCTGGTGTTTAAAAATATTATCTAATAAGTAACAAATTGAACCACTATACCAAACCTATCACTATTGGTTATTTAGAACATACTTGCATGAAATTTCTTACTAAGTGAGCTATCATCCAGAAGAACCTAAAGGAATATGACACCTGGTTATTTTGATAAGCATAAAAAGGCTCGAGTGATGAGAAAGCATCAAGAGAGACTTGTTGCAGGAGGTGGAGCTAAAAAAAATGGCATTCAGATACATTTGAAATATACATTAAAATAATCAGCCTGAATAGAGTCTATCACCTTTCCACCAGGCTGTAATACCCTCTTGAGTACCTTCACAGCACAGATGGAAAAAAAAAATGAGGTTCAAGTGGGAAGTTTCCCAAGGTCACACAAAAATTTCTAACTATATCCCATTCCCTTTCAATAATAATAACAGTAAGAATATTACAACTAAGTTTACTGAGCCCTCATCATGTGTTAAGCACGGCACTAAGTGCTTTATCTTAATTAACTCAATTCTGGAAAGCACCTAAAGAGGGAGATATTTTTATCCCCATCTACACACATGAGGAAATTAATGCTAGAAGTGGTTAAGAATTTGCCCAGAGTTATAAAGCCAGCCATTGGGTTTCAGAAACCTCACTTTTACCCACCGCAGTTCACTGCTTCATGAATGGCCCTTAGGGACACACTTGCTCCAGAAGAGTTTCATTTGGTGTTAATGATAGTAGTCTATATAAATTAAATAACCTAAAAGTTGTCCTAAATGACTCAGAAAGAAGAAAGGGAGCCTGATCAGAGTTGGAAACCTATAGAAAGCAACCAGGTCAGAGCATAGTAAGGAAAAGGGATGGAAACGCAGCATGGTTACCAGAACAGGATGTTGGAATGAGGTGGCAGAAAAACCAGACCTTACCTGATGTGGGTCGAAAAGTCCCCACATCAAAATCAAATTTAAACTAATTCTCTAACTAAGTAAGCATTCAGAATGGAAAAGCTTGCTTAGAGGAACAAGATTTTACTTTACTGAATTCAAAATAACATTATTTTAATGATGGGAAGAAGGAAATTCTTGGTAATTCAAATCACTTGTCTAACACTCCAACAGTTAATCCCTCACCCTCCCACTCACTCTCCTTTCAGAAGACACTAAAGAACACTTGACAACAAGAATCCTTTCATATATTCTCATTAGTTATGTCTCCTGCAGGGATCCCTTAAATGTCACTCACAAAAGCACTGGAACACAGAGGTGTGTTGAGTTTGGAGACAGAACTACTACTTCATTTCTAGGCCAAAACACAAATTTGAAGTTGTTCAGCTAAGACCTTTAGCTTAATACCAGCAGCAAACAACCCCTACTGCCCCATTTGCTCAGCTCATCCAGCTCATTACTCATTCTTCACTGCTACCACCTAATCATGTCAGTGAAATCCAGGTGAATTGTGTCCAAAGAGTCTTATATAAGTTTAAACATAAATTTTAAAACTTGTGGGGTTGGTGGGTATCACTCAGTGGTACGCTCAAGGCCCTAGGTTTAATCCCCAACAATCCCCAACAAAAATGAAGCAAGTCAAGAATACAGCATAGGTTTATATTCCAATTACTACTCTCTTAATTTTCTACATTTTGGTCTTGCATCCATTTTATAATCAGCATGTAACAGAAAATTTTAAAACCCTCAAGGCAAGAAGTTGAGAATCCTTAATTCTGGAAACCACCTAAATAGGGAGATAGTTTTATTCCCATTTAAACACATGAGGAAATTAATGATAGAAGTGGTTAAGAATTTGCTCAGGGTTACGGAGCCAGCCAATAACAGGTTTATGATTAGCTTTGTATATGATTTAGGAAAATAGTTTGTTTGGCTTCCAAGAACTTAATCTCTAAAACATGAGTACCTTTTTGTCCTATCTCAAAAGGTGTTAAGGAAATCAAAATAAAACATAACATGCAGAAGCACTATGAAAAGAACTAAAAGAGAAAACAGTGGTTAATGGATCAGTGGAACATGTCATTCCAAACAGAATAAAACATTTGCTAAAGAAAAGATCGTACTTGGCTTTGTAATCCATGATGCACATCATCAACTACAAATGTAGCTAAATAAATAAACAAATCCCCAAAACCAGTTCTTATACACCAGTTCTTATACAAGAACATCACCAGAGACCTGATAATAGACTTGGTTGCTAGGTAGAAATGCAATCATTCAGCTATGCATTTAACAGATCTTTAGTGAGTGCAGATCCTAGGTCACATCTTGTATTGGTTACTGAGGATGTGATAGTAAAACTAAATGGAAGGGAGCTGGGCAGTGACCTGAGCTACACGAAGGCACTTTCAAGATGTCTGACTGTAATGGAGACAAGAGCTGGAGGAGGGTCTTTTAAAAAATAGATAACAGGAGAGATTTGAGCATGTTTAAATGCCAATAGGAAGGAGTTTTTCAAGGGAGAAGTTGAAAACTATAGAGGAAAGAGAGATACAATAACAGGTAGAGGTTTCTAAGAGAGAAGAGGGGATGTAAGGCTTTAAATACAGTTTTAAAAAAATACATATTTTTAAGAGACTTGGCAAATGGTAGTGGTAGAAACTTAAAATAGAATATAGTGAAATATTTGCCAAAAGATATAAATCAGCAGGTGGGTTAGTGTTCACACAGAAGAAGCTATTAAAATTACAGAGAAAATTTATGGTGAAAATTTATCTCATTGAAGAACAGAGTAAAACAGTGGTCACTAGATATTGAGAAGGGCAGGGGAGTGGGCATGGAAAGTAGTTAAATAAGGAACACC